TGGCAACACAAGAAGGATCGAGACTAAGGAAGAATTCGGTTCGGTGAAATTCGGGTGCCGAATTTCACCCCTTCGAATTGTTACGCGAATGTTCTCGATGCATCTCGTATGTTACATGCGCGACTCGATGTTTTGAGTAGCTATATATTGTGATTGCTTTGTATGCATGATATACTGAAAATCAGAGTTTTCTATACACAGTTCAACTCGACACAAAATCCAGAGACTTTCTATCCTTCAATCTTAGAGCACTACCTAGCACGTTGAAAGCCGTATCTCAGCCGATACTTGGGCGAATTACGTGTTCTACGGCTCCTTGGAAAGCCAAGAGTGTGCTCTACTGCTTAGAACAATTCCTAGTTCCTGCCAACTAGAGGACACGCCTCTACATCAAGAACGACCTACGAAATCCTAGTGTTTGTCCTAGTAGGACCGGCGACCGTCAATCCCCTAAACTAAAGTGCCAGGACATGATGTACTGTATCAACAGATAGCACGTACTAAAGTTGAAACCCTCGCTAGCTCTGGCAGAAAAACTGTGCTGGCATCACATGCTCCATCAAGTCTACAGTTGTAACTACTTCGCTCATCTGCCAGCCCAGTGTTGATTCACGCATCGTAAGTCAGAGTGCTGCTGCTGGTGAGGTGAATCAGGTCAGGAGGAACGGGCCATTTTTAACGGCATTTAAATTATGCCAGTGCGATTATGCAGATGCATACAATAGACGGCCGTGGGGGAAAGAGGCTGACGGACTGTTATCTGCCCGCGGTCAGAAACAAACTAAACCCCATCTGGATGGCATGCGACTGGGGGAACCTCAACCCTAAACACGGGTAACCGCGTTTTTTTGCCGGCAGGCCGACATTTTTGCCTGAACCGTCTATTGCATGCATTCGCAAACTTGCACTAGCAAGATCTGCATGCGTTAGGTAAAAGCCGCAGGAGGAACCACCGCCAACGCCAACAGTAGGTAATTTTCAGGCTGGACTGGCAATGGACAAGAGTCGCGCGACATCTTCCATTCCATTACAAAGAAGGGCAATGATTCGGCGGTCTCTCGTCTCATGCATGTCGTTTCTGTGTGACTTCGAGAAAACGAACGCACAAATAACTAATTTGAAACACGCAAAAACGCTCTGCAAAAATCGAGGCGAAGGGGCCATTCTGAAACAGCAGGATGCGGACAGGAAACGCTATGAGGACGTCTGTTTCCTGGGTTCAAAACGAAGGGTCTCGAACTTTCTGTTATATTTTCGTGCTTCGACCGTAGCTACGAGAAACGCGATCTCGGCGATGACCCCTAGAGTGTTTTGAGGATAATGTGTATGCGCCCTCCGTAAGCGCTGAAGATTCTTCACTGTGGCGGGCAGATCCAGCGAGACACTATGAACAGTGCATGACAGGATCCGACATGATACTTGGACTGCCACCGTCAGCTTGAACAGATTTTCCATCGGTCAGAGAAGGGGATACCATTCATGCACAAGACGGGTTGATTCTGGGATTTCTAGATGACTCGTAACGTAGATCAAGTAATACTTAAGAAAGTGCACAAGGCAGACACAAGAAAGTGACACTGGCTTCAGGCATCTTATCAAGCAGTTCATGGTGAACTCGAATACTATCTAATCTGGACTAGAAGACCTTCATTGACAAACAGTCTTATTCATGGAATGCAACAATGACTATACCCAGTGGCTGCTTCTGTTGTCGCCACAACTCAACGGAACGGACCCGTCATCCAACCCAAGTCTAGGGAATTGGTTGCTTGGCGCCCCTCCCTCCCGTCCCGTCCTTTCGACCCCATCCACGCCGAGGGCTGCTGCAGCCGGTGGCTGGATGTTGACAAGAAAGAACTGCTTTCGCTAAAATGTTTGGCATAAAACGGCCTGCGTTTGCCATGCGTTGGCGCGACGTGCTGACTGTGATCGGATCTAGCAGAATCACGTATCATCCGATCACAGCCACCAACCACTTCCAACGTGAATTGATGGGGAGGGGAAGTACAGAAGGAGAAATAACCGGTCCATGCTGAAGTTTGTGAGACTGGCACTGCCTGGTTCGGACGCACGGGGCCTCTACGCTCACTGTGGTAGATTACACACCGACGGATAAAATAATTCAACGGGTTTTGGTGGGTGGTGCAACGTGTTACCGTAACGTCTACACCCTCTTTCTCGCCATTGTGAACTCGGTTATAATAAAGTCAATATGGAAAAAGCACGGTTAACGGTGGTTAAATTACGTTTTGGTATGGTTCAATCAGGAAAATCGAAGATAACAAGGTTTTCCACCTGTTCGGCACAGTTCAGTGTAGCGAGAAACAGGGTGTATTATATTTTCGTGCCCCGAAGCGGACAGGTCAACCCAGACTACGGACGCAGACAAGCTTCTACAGCGCGCCTCACCTGCACGCGCAATATTATCAACGATCTGGATGTTGGCGGCTGGCAAAGAACAGTTGCCCTAGAAGATCGACAAGAATCTTTAGATGCATTTCGGGATTGGGGCCAATAGAAAGAGAGGATGTGAAGTTTCGAACAACACAGAATATCCGTCCCAAGTAAGTCACCCTCGTTTTAACACAAGTGACGCATTGCCTATCCTACATAACCACCTTGGAAATGCAACACAAACAATACACAGTGATATCTGTCACAATGACGTATATAATGACAATTTCAAGAAGTTGAAGTGTATAGCATACCCCACGTCATGTTTATTTCCCCACATCTGCGAATCACATCAAATTTACAAATACTAGCGTTACAAATATGAGTATTCGGGAAGAGCACTGTATTCCCTTTTGCTCCCGAGTGGGTAACTCGAGTTTTCGTCAAGATCGTCGTCATCGCACGGGCTCAACAGAGGCATCCCTCTGGCTAGGCATATCGCGTGTCTGAACCATGCAGCCAGCCGGATCTGCACTCTCGTCGCCGCTTGTTGCCACTCAGTTTTTAATTCACCATATGAGTACAAGGGAAAACCAAACGTGAGGAAAAGGGGAAAGAGAGACATAAATGAAGGAGAAGGGAGGTGGAGAATGAAAGGGAGAGAGGAAAGGAAACTGCCAACAAAACTCCAAACGCAACCCATATAAAAAGCCCCATCAACATACCCCATCGCAACACCCAGTCAGGACACCCCATCGAGACACCCCATCCCGCACCCCATTCCCCCCCCCCCCCCCCCAAGTCGCATCCGCGCATCCACCATGTACGGGGCCTCCACCCAAAGAGCCCCGCCCTCCACCTCGATGTCGTCCTTTTCCCGGTCCACCAAATCCACATTCATCCCCCCCATGGAAGACGCCGCCCGAAGCAGGATCACACAAGCTTGTGCCCGTTGCAACGCGACCCCGATGAGCGCCTTCAGAGACCCCAAAAGGTAAGCCGAAAACGAAGTGTCATCCTCCCGACAAGCCCCCCGTGACACAGCTAGCCCCACGTGCGCATCCCCCTGATGTCGAAGCCACCGCCGGAAGCGACCGCCGAGGCACCCCCACGTCTCTACTATGAAAGGGGTAAACTGCACGCCCCGGTTGCATGCAAGCAAAGGCGCGTAATCACTCGCTTTGCGACGCTCCCACTCCCTTGCCGCCACACCTATAGAACGCCCGCACTGCCCTAGCAGAGATGGAGACAGCGATACAGGGTCCGCGACGCTGATCTCCAGAGCGTGAGCCTCCCTGGCCATCGGTCGTCGCACCGCTACGTCAACCCGCTTCCCCGGCAGCACCGCACTATCCTCCATCGTCACCACTCCCCCTGACGCCTTAGAAATCCTCGCCACCGCAAACTTCACCTCATCATGCACCCGAGATGGACCGTGCTGGTGCTTGCATCTCAGGGCATGATGCGGGTCTGCTGGGTCAACATACACTGTGCCACACACACACATCTCCCCGCCACCTGCAGTTGCTGAATTGGGAGCCTGAGCCGTATTGCAGCAGCAATGCCCCACTCAGCCGCAGTGAATGTGAGATATGAGTGAGCCGGAACCGCCGAAACCCATGCACCAGCCCCCGGGCCCTGAAAGGATGTAAAACGGGCCAGGGTGGCATCGTCACGAGCCGAGCGGCGCAGTGCCTGGAGCTCCTCAACAGCCAAATGCCGCTGCTGCGCCTGGAAAAGCCGAAGGGGAGGGGTCGCAACACACAGAGGTAAGTCCGACATCTCCTGGCGTATAGTCGCAGGCAACTGCTCAACAGCCTTGGCAAACCACGGGCCGTTTGGGGAGTGCCCCGCTATCAGAGCACTTTGCTCACCACTAAACATACAATATCTATTAAAATATTTATTTCCATATATGTTAGGGGGATTCCAACTCAAACGTTTAAGGTTCATTTTTCATGGCTGAGGAAGGTTTTGTAAGGTCCATCGTTTTTATTTGTGTAGTTCGGCTCGTTTCAACGCTCATTTCAGCTCAGCAAGTCATCAGCAGGGTTTCTTGCTGCTCCCTTGCTCCTCCCAGAAGCCCACGCGCACAGGGAATGAGTGCCTTTCCCTTGTTCCTCTCCTCCCAACCTCCCGTCTCCTCCTTCCCCTTCACCATTTCTCTGCGTTTCTCCTCATTCCCCATCCCTCGGTTTTAACGCTCACTCGAAGCATGTCCCTCCATCCATGATTTCCGTTTCCAATTGCACCCCTTCCCCCAGTCGTTCCGCTTCCCCGAGTGCTTCCCGTCGGCGCGGAAGTATCTCCTCTGGACCCCGCTTTCCCCCGCTCCCCCGCTCCAATGCTCCCCCGCTCCCCCTCGCTAACTGTAAGGGCTTCGCTACGCTAGGCGGCGGTGAAAAATCTCCTCTCGATTTCTCCATTCGCTTTCTCGCAGGAGGAGGTTGGAAAACTTTGAGGGGAATTGAAAGGAGATGCAGGAGGGGGAAGCGCGAGAGAGAGAGGGAGGGAGGAGAGAAGAGCGAGGAGAGAGAGAAGGAGGAGGCTTTAAGTAAACGAAGAGGCTGTCTAGTCACTTGTGAGAATCCTTAGTCGGGAGAAAGATGGGAGAGGAGCGAGCAGAGCGAGGAGAAAGAGGAGAGCGGGGCGGAAGCGAGGAGATTCAGGAGGGAGAGAAGAATGGGACGGGAATCTACCAGAAAAGGGGCAGAGAGGAGAGCAGGGAAGCAAGGGGGACAGGGGAGGAGGAACGAAGAAGGTTGGAGGAGGAGGGGGAGGATGATTGGCTCGACGGGGAAGACGCTGCTCTTGTACATTCCCCTGGAAAAAAACCTTCGAAATCACCTGAGGAATCACCTGAGGAAGCACCTGGGAAGATACAGCAGTGGCTTTCGATTTCTGGGGGCTGGGGGAGATTAAGAGCTCTTCTCGAAGCGACCCCTGACTCCATAGCTAGTGACGATGCTATTGGCTCCAAGAATCTCGGAAAGGATGATGACGTGGCTGGGAGTTTGAGTGGCCTACGTGGCAGTAGTGGGGGCAGGAGGAGATTAAGAGGTGCTGCTGACGTGGCACCAAATTCTATCCGTTTCAAACCAATTTCCAATCGCCAACCCCGCGATACTCTGGTTGCTGCCATCTTCGTTATAAGCACATCCGTTACAGTGACATTTGTCACCATACGCGCACTCTTTTCCTTCTTCCTCCAACCTACCACCTCCCCCTTCCTGGAACCTTCGTCCCAGTCCTTCTCTCCCAGCGCCGACAAGCTCATACCACTAATCGCAGGGGCAGCACTTTCTGTCCTTATCTGCTACGTAACACCACTAGAAGGATCCCTCGCCTTGCTGGCCGGCGGATTTGCTGCCTACCAGTTTGTCTTTTTCCTCGCCCCGCTTCGCCCCCTTCGTCTTCTCTCCTCCCTACTGACCTTGCTACAGGAGAGTGAGGAGGAGGGGGAAGGGGGAGCGGGAGGGGGAGGGGGGGTGGGGATGGGGGAAGGAGGAGGGTTAGAGGGACGGGGATTAGGGCGAGTGGTTGGGGGGTGGAGGAGAAAATGGAGAATGGGGGGAAAATATCGTGGTGCTGTTGGTGGTGCTGCTGCTGGTGCTGGTTACAAACGCTACACCTCCTTCCGCCATTTCTCCCCTCTGTCCTCGTTATGGGACTGGTACGGTACATGGTATGAGCCTCTGGAAGTTAGCAGCACGTGGGTTGTAGTGTTCTCAGTGCTCGTTCTGATTCTCGCTGCCTCCCTGCTGCTGCTGCTGGGGCTGGGGTCTGGAAGAGGAGGGGGAGTGAGTGAGAAGGGGAGGAGAAGAGAAGAGGAGGAATGCGAGGAACAGGAGAAGCAGCAGGAGCAGCAGAATCAGCAGCAGTCACAGAAGGAGCTGCAGCAGCAGCCGCCGTCTCTTTCGGACTCGTTTCCCTCATCCGCAGCATCCAGCCTCCAGCAGCAGCCATCCCATGCAGATTCATCTCCCTATCTGACATCTCCTCACCCTCTGCCGTTCCAACTCCCTCCCTCCTCCATACCGCTTGATTCTTCCACACCCTCCTCGTCCCACCCCCAACTTTCCACCATCCAGTTTCTCCCCTTTACCTCCCCTATCAATTCCCATCGCCCCCACCTTCCCCACCTTCCCCACCTTCCCCGCTCCTCCCATCTCCCGCAGTCCTCCAATCGTCCCCGCCTTACCCCCCGCCTCCCCCGTTTCCACTATGCCTTAGCCGTCAGCAACACCTCCCACTCCGCCCTATCTCTCTCCCACCGCCGCTCCCCAGCCCGCTCCCTCGTCTCCCTCATCGCCCTCCTCGCAGTTCTTGCAAGCTTCCTCACACCACTCTTTGTCTCGACCTTTTCCTTTTCCTTCTCTCCTTCCTCCTCCTCCACTCTCCAAGGACCCTTGATACCACCACCCTCCCAGCCCTCATCTCTTTCCTCCCCCTTGCTCCCAGCCCACTGCCCCTCCTTTTTCCTTTCCATGGATAGAGCTGCAATTGCCTTAGCTGCTCAGCAGCAGCAGGGGGCGGAAGGGGATGAGAAAGAGGAGCAGAGGAAGGAGCAGCAGCAGCAGGAGGAGGAGCAGCAGGAGGGAGCATGGGGTGCTGGTGCTGGGTTCATATCAGCCCAAATGACCTACATCCCTCACTCCTCCTCTTCCTCTTCCTCTTCCTCCTCTTCCTCCACCCACAGCGCCATAACCACCCCCACCCCATCTCCCTCCACCTTCCTCCCCTCCCTCACTCACTTCCTCTCCGCCCTTGCCTGCCATCTCCCCCTCTGGATCCATCTGGCCGTCAGAACAGCCGGCCAGCTGGCAAGTCTGTGGCTGGCCGTCAGTGTGGTCATGACAGTGCAGTTCGCAGCTGCAGTGGCGGTTGGCAGTGAGGCGTTTGAGGAGGGTGCCCTAGATAACACATCAGCAGTGAGGCGTTTAAGGAGGAATAGAGACAGCTTGAGAGGGAATGGTGCTGAAGCTGAAGCAGCGGCAGTGGGATGGGGGGCAGCTGCTGCAGTGGCGGCCAGCAGTGAGGCGTTCGAGGAGGGTATTTTCAGTAACCCGCCTCTTTCTGAGACAACTGAAACCCCGTTTGACAGGGGTGCACTGGAAGAAGCAGCAGGGCGGGTGGGAGGGATGGGGCGAGAGCAAATGGAAGAGGAATCTTCGGGGCATTTTCCCGGTGATGACTTGTGTGGGTTTGTGGAGGAGAGGAAGCTTCTTGCATGGAACAGGCCGGGTTCCTCAACGTTACCAATACGGTTGGTTTTTGTTTGTTTGTTTGTTCTTCTTTTTTGTTTGTTTGTTTGTTTGTTTTTTTTTTTGCGGCGTGCAAAGAGCAGAATGTTTGATGCTCAACCCCACCACTACGCGCATGCTCTGTTCGCAACACTCGGCACCATTACCACTGTCTCTCTCATCCCCTTGTTTGAGGCGCCTCAGAAACCATCACCACCGTCTCTCTCACCCCCTTAACCCCTCCTCTCATCTCGCCTCCTCTCCTCTCTTCCACCCGTCTCCTCCCTCACCCCACCACTGCAGGCACGCCCTGTTCGCATCACTCGGCACCATCGCCACCATATCTCTCATCCTCACACTCTCCGCTGCTCTCGCTCTCACCCTCCCCGACCTCCTCTTCTCCCTCATCTCCTCCCTCCCCTCCCCTCCTTTTCTCTCAACTGCCTCGCAATCTTCCTCCTCACAATTCTCGTCCTCCTCCTCCACCTCGCCCTCGGTGGACGACCGCCGCCTCATGCCTGCCTCTGCTTCTCTCACGCTAACCAGAGTGCTGGCGCTCGTTTGTGTCACGCCCTTGCTCGCTTCCTTTACAAGGCACGACTCAATACGTTTTTTTCTGTGGCGCTCGTTTGTATCACGCCCTTGCTCGTTTAGTTTTCATGGCGAGTTCAGCTGTGTTGCTCTTATTGAGTGACATCTTCCTATCCCTCTTTCCCCCTCCCTCCCTCTCCCCCTTTTTTTTCCAACACTTCGCAATTTTTTTGGCTTTGCATCTTCAGTGTACATATGTATGTGTTGTGTTTGTGTGTATCTATGAATAATTGTTAATGTGCGTGTATATGCGTGTGTGCGAGTGCGCATGCATGCGCACTTGTGTGTGTGGGTGTGTGTATGTGTCTTTGTTTGCATGTCTGTGGTTGTGCGTGCTTGTGTGAGCGCGTGGGCTGTGTCTTTGTGTGTTCTCCAACCGCTTATCGCACCAGACTCGTGTTGCCTATCGCAGCAGCAACGGGGGAAGGCTTCTCCTCCTCGCTGCGCACCTCCCTCCTCTTGCTCCGCTCACACGCCTCCGTCATCATCTCCCTCTCGCTCTCCTCCTCCCTCCTCTCCATCGCCCTTATCACCTCCCACGTTGCTGCGCTAGCTTCTCTTGGGGTAAGCACCTTCAGGGTGAGGCTAGTGATTCTGTAGCTTACTGTTTCTATGAGTAAGCCTCCCACAACAACTGGTCAGGTATTGTAGTTAGGGGTTTTCAAGTCACTTGGAGCAAATCTCTCTCCATAACTTTTAAAACTCGTTTTAGGCTTAACATTTACCCCGTCATGTTCCCCTCTCTCTCCATCCTTGCAATGTCAGGCATTGTTTGGCATTTTCCTTGAGGGTGGACTGAATGAAACGCTTTTGGGCCGGCGGGTGGCAGTCATTTGGGTCTTCCTTGCGCCTTCCATTGCTGCTGTGCTGCTGGTAACCTTGTTACAAGGGGCAAGCTCAGTTCTGGTGCTTCGACGAGTAGTTGGTAGTAACTCCACAGCATCTCTTGCCGTTCCAAGCGAAAAATCCTCTCCGCCGGCAGTCAGTGGTCCCAAAATCTGGTTCGTGGAAAAGTATGCTACGAGTACACAGGTGACCTAAATAGGGATTAAAGCTTGACATTGTGCTTGTAAATAGTGTATTTAATTAACTGATTTGTATCATTAAAGTGAAACCGTACATGCCCCTTCACATGCTGTACTACCGGGTTGTTGACTCAGGATCTCAATGACGTCATCCGTAACTCTCGGAATTATCTCATCGAAGTTGGCGATGGGTCACTACTGCGTGGTTTCGGCCACCCCGGATCATTCGCGAATGCACTTCACTTCCCGTACAAACGAAACATGCGAACAAAACTCCGCACAGACGCAACAGTTAAATGCCATGTCTAGGTATGCAAACTGCTCGCAGATGTTTTTGCGACGTTCGTGCGTGCTTGTTCTTGGACTGCTTAGTAATCCCAAGGCAATGTCGGTCTAAAAAAATACGCCCTCGATAGATTTCTCGGGATGGTGACAACATTCCCAAGACCAGCAAAACTGACATTCCTGGAGATTTGAGTTTTCTTGACCAAGACATCCTCTCACATCCATCTGGATTTCTTACCATCAGGTCAGGAAGCAGCACAAGAATCTAACAACCACCATCAGGTCAATCTCACTCCCAGGCCGGTAACACCATTCAGTCTTATCGCCTGATCCTCTCAGCTCGTTTCGCCATCAGGAGGTCCGCAAGCCTGTGAGATCTGCGAATTCGCGTGAAGCGGTTCACGGATTGGTGAGATTGGTCAGATTCTGAGTGCTGTTTCAATAGTTCCTGAACCGGGTTCCCATTCTCGACAGGAAGCCATTATCTTCACCTTAAACCAATCTAAGCACAAAAGGTCCGTTTTTTTCTCATAGATTCGGAGCACGTTGTCCATCCACGTAAACAAATTCACTGACATTGCAGCTCGGAACTCCGGACTTTTCATAGGTTGACGGGTCCAGACTGCGACTTCACGGAAAATGGCTCACGTGCAGAATCCGTTCGACCTTCTGACGGGTGGAGGCGGCGCGGGCGGAGGTGCTGACGGAGGCTCCAAGAATCGCCGAAACCGGAAGAAGAAGCAGCAGCAATCTCAAGGAGACGACCAGCAGCAGCAGCAGCAGCCTCAGCAGCAGCCTCAGCAGCAGCAGCAAAAGCAGGAGCCGGAGGTGGTTCAACCTGCACCAACCGAACCTCAACCGCCATCAGCCACGGCCGCTGCTTCGATCGGCCAGCAGGCAGATGCAGCTTCCCCCGCAGCTGCCTCTGCACCTTCCGTCGCACCTTCCGCTGCGAAGAAGAAGAAGGGGAAAGGCGCAAAGGCGAGGCAGCCTCGTTGGGGGGACGAGGAGGAGGAACCAGCCAATGGCGCACTCGCTGCTCCTGAGATCTCCTCCAAATCGGCAGAAAAAGCCGCCGCGCCGGCAGTTACGCCGTCATCTCCGCCGGCGGCCGGCACGGAAATTCCGCTAATCAAGGATCCCAAGGCGTACGAGACGGGGGGCCTGATGCCGGCGGAATGGGGGGCGGAAACCGCGCGGGAGGAGGCGTGGCAGCAGGGCGGAAAGAGCAAAGGCGGAAAGCAGGCCAAATCCGCGGGTGCCGCCGCCGGCGCGGCTCCAGCTGCGCGTGGCGGGAACATCGGCGCTGCTGCTGCGCCTGCCCCGGGCGCGGGGGGAGCGATCAGCGCGGAAGCTGCGGCGCTGGAGGCGGCGGCGGAGGCGTGCGGAAGGGATGCGGAGGCGCGGGTGAGGCAGTGGCACGACTGGACTGTGCGCGCGCAACAACTGCCCGCGCCTGGCATTGCGACGGCGTGGAAGGAGGTGCGTGGGATAGGTGCACCTGCGGACGGATTATGGTTGGTTCGATCTGGGCTGGTCTGCTAGAAGTTGGGTCGCATGGCGACTTTTTTTTTCGGAAGGTTGAGAGTCGTTGTTTAGATGGCACCTCACCTCACAAATGCCTATATTTCTTTCCTGCGGCAGATTTTCCTGAGGAGTCGAGCTTTGGAGAAGACGGTGGAGAGCTGCATCACGCTGCCTCTGTACCCCCACCACCTGCCGCACCTCCAGGTAGATTTGATCTGACACGATTGTTGAGCGAAGGGCGGAGTGGAAGGGAGAGTGGGAGAGGGGAGGGGAGGGGAGGGGAGGGGAGGGGAAAGGGAGGGGAGGGGTGGGGAGGAGGGGAGAGAAGGGGAGAGGAGGGGAAGGAAGCTATTACACGTTTCAAATAGGATAGTTGCCCACCCCACCTGCCTCACCTTCAGGTGGATTTGATACGATCCACCTTTGTATGGGAACGAAAATGGACTGCACGAAAGTATATTTGTCGAGATTGAAATGTGCTGATTTACTGAACCAGCAATGGATGGCTCCCAATATGATATTCCTCTTGTGCCTCCCCAAACCCGTCTCCCATCTTCGTCCCGCTTGTTTTATCCGCTGAAAAACGTCAACCACCTTTCTTTAAACACAGCTCCTTCAGAAAATATTTGCATATCCTTCCGTCCTCTTTCCCTTGCCATCGTCCGCTTTGCCATCGTCCTCCTGCCACCTTCCCCCTCCCACATCCCTCCCACATCCCTCCTCACATCCACCCCCCTGAAACACCATCAATAATCCCTCTCCCACTAATTCCCCCCACCCCCCTTTACCTTCTCTCCCGCTCTCCCCCTCCTCTCTCCCCGTCTCCCCTTCCTCTCTCCCCCCCCGTTCTCCCTCTCTCCCCTTCCTGCCTCCTTCTTAACGTGAATCTACCACCAGGCGCTTCTCTCCGTGTCCCTGGGCCATCAGGAGGCGGCTCAGGTGATTTCTCAGGTGGCATCGGACCTGTCTCAGGTGCTATCTGAGGAAGGCGCCACCCTGGGCCTCACAGGTGGATCTGCAGGCAAGGGAGCAGCGGGAGGGGATGTGCGTGCCGCAGCTGCTAAGGCTCTGGCTGCTGCGGTGACTGCAGTGAAGGTGCGTGTAAAAGGGGTGGTTTTCTCTCTGTTTTGACTTATCTTACATCTTATGCGGGCACGGGGGCAGCGGGAGGGGATGTGCGTGGTGCGGCCGCCAAAGCTCTGGCTGCTGCTGTGACTGCAGTGAAGGTGTGTGTGAAGGGGGCGGTTTTGAAACGTCTCAAAACTCGAAGCAGGCCCTGTTTTTGTGGCTACGTTGTTAAGACGCCTAAGAAACGTTTCCATCCACCCTCCGCCCGTTTCTTGTGCGTGCAGCTGGGCGGGTCAGGGTGGGCAGTGGAGCGCATCGCAGCACAGCTTGGTGACGCGGGTGTGTCCTCAAAGCTGCAGGAGATGCAGACCAAGGTAACCCAGGGGATATGGTGAAGGCAGAAAGGGTTACAAAGAAATGGGGTCTGGGCAAAAGGGTTGAGGACGGAAGGGTGTTTGGAGTTTCAGCTTTGGGACGACTTTTGAGTCGACTCAAAAGTCACCTCGAAATGGGGGCTGTGCAGAAGGGTTGAGGACGGAAGGATGTGCGGAGTTTCAGCTTCGGGATTTGCCTAGGCAAGGGGACTTGGGATCAGCAGCATCGCACTTGATTGAAGAAGTGTTTTGAGATCAGCAGCACCGCACTCTCAAAACACTAGCAAATGCGTATTCGTCCCATTTACCCCTGCCTCGCTTTGCCCTTATCCAGGCTGCGTCAATGGAGCATCAGCTGCAGCTGATCGCAGCAGGAGGAGCAGCAGCAGCGGCAGCAGTGGGAGGCGCGGCAGCAGCAGAGGAGGGCGGGGCAGCAGCTCGTGGCGTGTACGTGCTTTGCATTGCCTTGCTCCGTTCCTCTCTGCCCTGCTGTGCTGTGCTCTGCTCCCGCCTGCACTTCTGTGCTCCCCTCTGCTCTGTGCTGCTCTGTGCTGCTCTGTGCTGCTCTGTGCTGCTCTGTGCTGCTCTGTGCTGCTCTGTGCTGCTCTGTGCTGCTCTGTGCTGCTCTGTGCTGCTTTGTGCTGCTCTGTGCTGCTCTGTGCTGCTCTGTGCTGCTCTGTGCTGCCCTGTGCTGCCCTGTGCTGCCCTGTGCTGCCCACCTCTTCCTCTCCAGCCTGCAATCCCCAGCGCCCTTCCCTGCCGAATCCGTTTCTCTCCCTATTTCTATCCGCTTTGTGCTGCCTCTTTCCCCTTTGATACTCCCTTCACAGGAGACTATCCCAGCTGGTGAACATAACAGAGTCACGAATCAACCTCCTCCTTTCCAGCCTGCAATCTCCAGCGCCTTCTCCAGCCGAGTCTACCTCACCTGCTGCAGCCGAAGCCGCCGCTGCCGCCGCCCAAGCTTTGCAGTCTGTGCGTGACCTCACAGCTGAAATTGTCCGGCGGAAAAAACTCCCACCGACACTTAGCTCAGCCGCTCAGGGGAAGGCAGGGAAGCTGGTTACCACAGCGGTTGCAGGGGGGGCAGCGGGTGGGAAAGGTGCCGCTGCTGCGGTTGGTAGTGGTGGTGTGGGAGGGGGAGCGGAGGAGGGCGTGTGGGAGACGCAAGGGGGAGCGGGCAAGGGAGGGAAGAAGGGCGGGAAGAAGGGGGGTGGAGACAAGGGCAAAGCAGCACCAGCAGCAGCAGGTGGGGCAGCAGCAGGCGCAGCAGGGGCGGCTGCAGTGGAGGAGGCTAGGAGGAAGCTTGAAGAGGCAGCAGCAGAGAGCAGGAAGCTGACGGGCCAGGTGGAGGCAGCAGAGGCAGAGGCATCGAGGCTGCGGGTGCTGTGGCTGGATGCAGAGGCGAGGCGGAAGCAGCTGGAGGAGGTGTTGGCTGCTGCCTCTGCTGCTGCTGCTGGCGGTGGTGGAAAGGTGAGTTCGAAGTTGACTTGTGTTTGTTAGAAGGAAAGGATGGTGAG